CCCACTGGATGCAACAAATGCCTCCTTTATAATGGGTTTTAAGGTTTTTGTCTCGTCGCTCCGGGACATGGCATCACAGTATGGTAAGGTGCGTAACATTTCAGTCACATGCTTGAGGTATTCGGCCAATCATAACGCACTGGATAGCTGGCCAATCACAGCACACCTCGCTTTTTCAGACCGATGAGCTTTGTAAAAATCGACGCATTTCAGAAAGGCGGGGCATAGAGGAGAAACAACAATGTACAGTATGTGGAAAATAATGTGTTTTTTTTTACCTTAAACCGCATAAACACATTTCACTACACCAAATACACAAAATAATGTTCTTTTTAGCAACATCATATGACCCCTTTAAGTTACCAAATATGGTTCTTCGCCCGATAAAGGGTTAAACTCCTAATTTGCTGCTCATTAATAGTTAGTAAGGTAATAGTTAAGTTTAGGTTTGGGGTAGAGGATTAAGGGATCTAAAATATGGTCATGCAGAACAGGGCATTAATATGTGCTTTATAAGGACTAATAAACAGCCAATATGCTAGTAATATGTATGCTAATAAGCAACTAGTAAATAGTGAGAATTGGTCCTTAAAATAAAGTGTTTAAAAACACATCAAATTTATGAAAATTGTGTGTTTTGAAAATTACATTACCAATACATACCAATGTAAAGGCCATAGTTTATCCCTCACAGCCTCGTTTTCATCCATGTATATGGTGTCTACCCTGACTAAGGTCTATTGCAGTAAAATTGTGGGATTACCTTTTCTGTTAAGTGTTTCCCATAAAATGAAAGTATATATTAACAGCTGTCAAGCTCCAAAAAGCAAAACAATAGTCCTTACGACTTGTACTCTATATTAAAAATCTTACGGTAGCTTTTAACAGACCCAAAATGTAATTCATTATTCATCTTCCCCTCTACCAAAGCTCATTTTTGGAGCTTGAAAGACATGATTACTGTGAACTACTGTTGTTAGAAAAATCTGTGAGAAGATTCTTATATATAAAATTTTTTTATTTTCAGTAAATATAAGAGAACATCAGTGAGAGAGTTTTATTTTCGCTTAAGGCCGGAAGCGGCTGTTAATGATACACAAGATCCTAATGAGCTGCAATTAGCACACAAAAAGCCCAGTGTGTGCTGTGTGACGTGCTGTGTTGTGTCAATGGCAGCGTCCTGTGCTCTCAAACACTACTGCAGCAGGCATGTAATGTTGAAATCAGCTGTCACATTTGACACTCATGTGAGAATTAAACCAACGCAGTAAACTACCATCTAAACTTCATAACATGCTCATTTACTGCCAACTGTACACTGCAGGAATGGCACAGAAGCGCTTTTTAAGTAGCATTTAGGTGTCTTTACACAGACTGTCTTCACACAGAATGCTGCTTAGAAGTAGCATAAATGTATTTACAAAGCAAATACGACTGTATACTTTAGGGTCTGTGGTGGGTCAGAGCAAGCATAATTTAGTCTGGCTTTTATGCGGCACTATGAATTTACACAGATTCTTGAGCAGACTTAACCCTGTGCCTGCGGCGTAAAGATGCCTTTATGTTACTGATGTGAGCTATAAATGTTACAGACAGCCAAATCTGAAATTGTACAAGTTAAACAAGCACAAGAGCAGCATAAATAGATAAACATGATCTATATTTCTCATATTGCAACTGCTGACAACTGCTATATCGCACCTAACACCCTCATGTTTGAAACAAATTTAACATAGGAAATATTTTAAATATTTGTAATGTGAACATCTTTTAACAGTTATCAAGCCTAGTATCACAATATCAATATTAATACTTCAATTTTTTCAGTTTTAGGGATAACATTAATAATTTTAGCTGTTTAACATCATACTTAAAAGCCATAATTAAAAGCCATTTAGAAGGCCTAAACTGCAGATTATCAGTATATTATGACGCTACAATGGTGATACACACACACACACACTAAACTATTCAAAATGAGGTAACTGCAGTACACACAAATATTGCAAAAGAGTCTTTCCTCATCCAAAATGTTCTTCTGGAACTTTTCTTCTGTGGGCCGAGGTATGCAAGCACTGTATTGTTTCAGATGAAGTCTAAAGTAGGGAAAAGACTTTCCCAACATGGTGATTCATCCCCATTTTTTCATTGGGCTTCTCTGGCTGTAATTGTAGCAAAAACCAAAAAGGCACAACATTTTACACAGATTTTTACCACCTGCATGCCAAGACACACTTGGTGGACTATCCTACGCTTCAGATTCATTGGATTCGAGTCTTCGCATGGAGCTGTGGTATTCAAGCACTCTGAACTTAAAGGGAGGGTCCTGGCTGGTTAGTATGGATCCGGAGAGCACAGCGAGTTCCTTCATCTATTCTGTGGGCCTTAAAAGTGCTGTTGCAAAGGCTTATTGAGTGTGTTTTAAAGAACGTTCAGAGAAGTGCTGTTTTGTGTATATAAATGACACTGTTGTGTATTTCTAAAGTTAACAAAGATCTAAAACGTCATGGTCCAATTTTAACTTTGCTTATAAAATTAAGCAGCTTGCAGAACGCACCCTAAACCTGAAAAAGAGGGGGTTCCATACAAGAGTGAAGCCAAAGCTGATGTTTTTCCAAAGGATTACTCTACTCCCAGCACAGAGTAATCAGAGGAGAGAGAGAGAGAGATTATGCGTAGCATATCTCTACTAAAAGTCAAGCTGTGAGCTCGATAATTCAAAAAAGCAATGTTGCCATCTCTCTGCTGATATAAATGGAAAGGAGCTTTTCAGTAGCGAAGCTGAAAAGCTCAATGTCACATTAATAATAACACGTATTATAATATTATATTGAAAGACAGGTGCTCACACAATTTTCTGGAAAATTACTGGTAAATGACAGTTTAGAGATCATGTATGAACAGGTCCTTTAGAGAAATACAGGGAAAGCAGTTCTAGCTAATTTCCAAGATAAGAAGTTGTAACGTTACCAATACATTACTGTTTTGATGCTATGTGGGATCGAAGCATAAGATTATCAGTACGAGCATGTACGAGGTCAAGACATGGTCTGCTTTGAACCAATCATAAAGTTGGCGATTACTCCACAGCATATATAGTACGAAATGAAGAAAACAGCATTCATCTGCATTTTGGTGCTGATTTATTCATGGTAACTTAAAAGTAAAAAAGATGGAAAGCTGTCATTTGTGTGAACAGCAGATATGATAGTTGCGGAAAAAAAGTCCATCCCGCTGGCGATTTAACAGTAATTCACAAAGTTTAATTTAGTGGTCAATGACAGTTTAACTTGAAACTTGTGCTACAGTTTCATCGTCATCTATGATATTTTTTATTTAAATCCTTATTAACTTCCATTGTAGTGTGTTTTGCCAAGTCGCTCATTGTCATACTGCACCATACATTATAGCTAGGTTACTGTAAACCACCCACTAAACCAGTGTTTCTCAACCAGGGGTCCGTGGACCCCTAGTGGTCCTTGACGTAAGGCCAGGGGGTCCATAAAAAGTATGAATTTTTGTATAAATTTTGTATATTTTGACATGACATGTTCCCATGAAAGAAAAATCCAATATAGCTGATGATATGGCCAAATACTGGACAAGTCAGCTAACTTGAATTATACTTGACTGTATTTGGTCCTCACAAAGACACAAATGATACATAGATGAGTCAATTTTGTTCTGGGGGTCCTTGAGGATGGTTCTGAATTGGACTGGGGTCCGGTACGCCAAAAGGTTGAGATTCACTGCACTAAACTACCTACAGTATAGGTGAATAGGTTTAGATTGTGTTTAGATTATAGATTTTATTCCTGTGAAGCTGAAGTTTCAGCAACCATTACTCCAGTCTTCACATGATCCTTTAGAAATCATTCTAAAAGGTGCTCAAGAAACATTTCTAATTATTATCTATGTTGAAAACTGTTGTGATGCATCATATTTTCATATTTTTTAGGAAACGGTGATATACTGATACAATACTTTTCAAGGATGCATTTAACTGAAAAAAAGTGAGAGTAAAGACACTTATGTTACAAAAGATTTCTATTTCATGAAATAGCTGTTCTTTTAAACTTTCTATTCATCAAAGAATCCTGAAATAGTCATCACAATTTCCAGAAAAATATTAAGCACCACAACTGTTTTCAACATTGATTATAAAAAGAAATGAGAAATCTCGAGCAGCAAATCAGCATGATTTCTGAAGGATCATGTGGCACTGAAGACTGGAGTAATGATGCTGACAATTCAGCTTTGTCAAAGTTATCTTAGATTTTAATAATATTTCACAAAATTACTGCTTTGTTTATTTGTTTCTGATCAAATAAATGCAGCCTTGGTGAGCATAAAAGACTTCTTTCAAAAGAGAAAGTGAAAAGAACAGATTGGCATGAAATACAGCATGAACATTTACATCCCAGTCAGTGATGGATGATGATTATCTGTAGTACAACTTCTAAATCAGCGGTTGTTCACCTGGTAGAGGTATCTCTGGTTGAACTGCTGCATGGCTCCCTGCAGCTGGCTGCGCTGAGACTGCCACTGCTCATAGTTGCGCACAGACTCGGCTGTGGGCCGCTGCCATGTGGTGGTTCTGGTGTTGTGATCCACATAGTAGAACCTGCCGCGCTGATCCACACGCTTCTCCCAACTACAACAGACACGAATCATGGGTTAACACCAGCCCCATATAAGAGGATAAGCGGCCATGTACAAAAGCAAACTGTAAATACTCTCAGGGGCTGTTCTTTCAGGGCACTTTTTTTTTGGTTTTTCAAATGCTAACTCGCACTAGACGTCTTTGACCTTTGCCACATGTCTCAATGTTTTTTTCAGCATCTTGTGCCATTAGACTAAAAGCAGTTAGAAAGACTAAAAGCGCTAGAAAAGTTTGTAAACCCTTAAGTATCCTCTGCATAAATTTGATCAGATCCTCTGAAGCACAGCGGTGGCAGTTTATTGATGGGTTCTCTGCTATACATAGAAAATTCTACAGGAACATTTCAAATCTGAACCTTAACACGCTGAATGGTTATAAACCAGAAGAAATGTAAATGTTTTGAAATGGCGGAGAGTCTTGACCATAACTCACTGGCATTAAAAAGAGTAGTGCATGCAACGGATCTGACTCAAATCACTGAGCTGAAACAGTGTTCTGAGGAGAAACAGACAAAACGTCCTCCAAACTGAAGTGCAGAAATGATCCACATTAACCGGAAGGGTTATTGTGTTATTGGTGCTCAAGGTGGATTTAACAGACATAAAAGCCAAAGGATGCCTTACTTTTGCCAGCAATAGAAATGACATGTAACGTCAACTGTGCTGTGCTTTTAGACGGCTGGAGGGAAAGAGGAGGACAGAACCTGCTCTCTCGTTATTTATCTAGAGCAACTGACCCTGTAAATGAAGTGAACAGGCTGAAATTTAAGACTTTTTAAGACTTCTGAAGGACCCGCAAGGACCGTGTGCGAACACAGAAAAATACATTTACATCTACACCCCAACTCAAGTACTAGCTACTGCTACTGCAAACTCAAGCTCAAATGTGCATTTCCAAAAGGTGGCAAAAAGATTAAAGATTCAAATGCAATAATTTCACACTTTCAATAAAAATCTTAAAAATAAATATATCATTTACATTTTACATTTATATTTAATCATTTAGCAGATGCTTTTATCCAAAGCAACTTACAAATGAGGACAATAGAAGCAATCAAACCAACAAAAGAGCTATAAGCGCTGTGACAAGTCTCAGTTAGTCTAACGCAGTACACGCAGCAAGGTTTTTTTTTATAATAAATAAAAATAAAATAAGTAGATAGAATAGAAATAGAATTGAGAGTGTTAGAGGGTCAAGTGTAGATGGAAGAGATGTCTTTAGTAGGGTGGCCCTTATTGGGGGGTAATTTTTTTTATTGAAAAAATGTTAACCTCTCACCCCCTCATTTGTTTCTCCACTAGAAGTACGGAATGTATGCAAAATACCATCCAGATAATTTGTCATTTAGGGTATGCTCAAAAAATCTTTTTATCACAGGTACTTCAAGATCTGATTGGTGATATTAGCGAAGGTTTCGTTCACTGATAAACTTTTGACCATTTCTGATATCAGATGGCCATTTTGCATAACCAGGATGAAGTGTACTTGCTTGGAAGCAAGAAGGAGTCTTTATCAGGTTGCAAGCTTCCGTCCATTGGTGATGTTATTTAAGTATATCTGCACTGAATGGGAAAAAAGGGTATGGTGAAGCATACTGTAAAGCAGCAGTGTAGACCACGAAGGAGGTCCAAGACTTTTGGGAAAAGGCCCACATTCCCATAAGGCCTTTTCAAGACCTTTTAGGAAAATGGGAGGCCTTGAAGAAGAACAAGGGGCGAAGGAGCGAAACACAACAGAAGAACGAAGAAGACTTCAAGGAGACCTTGCTCGATCACCTCTGGTATCTCAGTGAGGAACTGGTTGCACTGGCCCTGTTTGATCCAGATGTCACGGTGGAGGAGAAAAAGGCAATGGTTGCTGCAAAGGAGACTGAAGTGGACGAGGAGCCAGATAAAAGAGTGCACGCAGACCTTCTAAGCATTGGAACGAAGAATTTGAGCAACTTCATCACAAAGAACACTTGCAACTTCTTATTCTTGATCTCCGCCAGGACTTCCTAAATGAAGATCCTGGTACCTGGGCAAACAATGCAACCTACATCGCAGCTGAGGAGATTGCTAAGAGCCTGACGTGACCAATGACACGAAAGAGGCGGTGCACTTATCAAAGAGTACAACGGACTCCTCTCAAAGACTCAAGAACAAACGCAGTTCATTATGCAGATTGTCATAGAGCACGGAAACCAGTTTCCAGATGCCCACTAGAGTACTGCAGTTGAAGGACTTGTCGGATCATCATAAATATCTAGATCAGACCTCAATGTTTTGTTCTAAGTTCACTTTCTTCACCAGTACAGTAATTTCTAGAGCCCGACCGATATGGGCTTTTTGGGGCCGATACCGATATTAGGGAGTAAAAAAAGGTCGATATCTTTGTGTATATTATAGTACAGTACCGGTCAAAAGTTTGGACACTTTCCCATTCATGTGTCCAAACATTTGACTGGTACTATATATAGAATACAGTATATACATAAACAGAATATATATACATAAACACATGTTTTGCAATGATCACTCAAATGTGGTGATCAAACACTTATAATGACGTGACAGAGATACATAATGGAGGCAGGGCATTTAACAATTTAACAATAAACTTTATTTGAGTGCGATGCACAAAGTAACGGGGTGTTAGTTGTAACACACGTGGTTTGAATATTTATTTTACCATAGTAACATTTAAATTCTGGCTTAAGTAAATTTTTTATCTCAGTTTTTATTATTCATTTAAAATGAGACAAATCTGCTATTATTTTAATCTCCAATCTGTTATTTAGTAAATAAATATAAATTCACGTCTCGCGCACTTTAATGCCCTTTGAATGTTTTGAATGTATTCCCTGCGATCTGGAATCATGGCGGAATATCATGTGAAGTCCATTTCGCAGGGCACTTAGGGCACTTACAGACAACGCTTGAATGCTGCTGCCTGAACAAGAGACCTCCTTACTGAAGTGAAAGTGTTGACTGGTGTCACTATC